TATGAATATGAGCTCGGGTTATGTATAGTAGCTCAGGTTGCAGATCAGGTTTTCGTGGATGACAGTTTGATCTTCAGCCGCTCCACTTTCAGAGGTTTCCTTTGACCACTAAAGTTGTTCCAGATAGCAGGTCATCTGCCATGCATGGCAGCTGTGTCACCACTGGTGTGTGAATTTTCCAAGCTATTATTTCAAGTAAAAGTTCAAACTTTCAGAGTCTTGGAAATGTGGAAAACGCAGCTTAAATCCCAGAGAATACATGTCTGCTATTTTCAGACAGCTTCCCTGCATACGCTTGACACCATGTGGTAATTGTAGTAAGCAGAACATGTTAACACAACATGACTGTCATTAACTCCTTTCTGACACAAAATGTACAATATGTGTTAATAATAATAGAACTGAATTATAGTGCATTTGCCATCCATCCATCTGTGCTTTCAGCTGCTGGGATGTGGAAATGAGCTACACTCTAACCCTGTGTATGAATGATTAATAATATTATTTACAGTCGAGACAGTATTTGGACAGTTATATGCGCAGCAGTGGAGTGCCAGGTTTCAGCTTTAATTTTAATTTCTGTTTTGCATCAATATTTAACAAAGTGGGTGGTAGTCGTGGCCCTTTAAAACACATGGAACCCAAACTGCAAGGGTTCAAAATAAAATTGGACACTTGGTTATTAAATCTTTCTTGGAGAGCTATCTGTCATTTCAACCGTAGTTCATAAACCAAAAACCGCACACATGGCTCATGGAGAGTTTATTTAGAGTTGCCATCCAGACTGAGGGGGAGCTGTCTGTGAAAAAAGTTCTGCCTTGCTCTCTGATATATGTGAAGACTGTCATAGCGAGAGGCAGGGTACACCCTGGCCAGGTCGCAAGTCTTTCACATTTAATTCGTGGGGTTGAATTAATGAGCTGCATTAACTGTTTAGGCATCTGGGGCTCAAGAATAATTAGACAGTTGACAGATAGATTTAGATAGAGTTTTATGCCCAGGTGAATTCCAAATTAAGAAGATAAAAGACCTGGAGTTTATTCCAAGTGCTGAACTTGCATTTAGTTACTGTTCACCACAACTCTCAATATGAGGTCCAAGGAGATGTCGATGCAAGTGAAAACCCAAATTAACCTGTTAGAGGGAAAAAAAGTTTAGGAGTCACTTTAAAAAGGCGTGTGATGGAGATCAGGGATTCTGTTACATTTCCCAGTATTATTATTATTATTAATTTAATGGGGGACTGATATAAAATTATATATTTTATTTTTGGTAGTATTATTTAAGTGATAGTGGAAGGTGAAGAAACGGGGGGTGGCGGTGTGTTAATGTTAGTAGAACTTACCTGTAAGAGTAGAAGGAGCTCAATCACTTGCTTATGAAGCATCTGGCATAAACCAATGTGCAAGGCTAGCGGAGTTTAGGTTAAGATGTTTCTGATAAATATAACTGATTAAAGCATATATGTTGTTGAACTATTTATAGGAATGTACGTTTTTTACTAGGTTTTACTACCCCAAGACTTGACCTGAGGTAGATAGAGTACTGCTGCTTTTCATAGTGGCTGGTATGTGTTGTGTTTGTGAACACTCTCACTCTTGTATTCAGCTATTAAAAGGTTTCTGGTCAAGGTTTGGGTCAAACTACTGTAACTCTTGATCCACTAGCACAGTCGAAAAATGTTAACGGCTCTTGAAAGCATTAACTCTTTTTCAGTTATATTAGCGTCATTGCGGTTATCCCAGACACGGCACCACAGAAACATGGTGAAAAGAAGACAAATGTCTCATAAAATGTCTGTGTTCTGTAGAGCTCCATCAGAAACACTCACACTACTGTCTCGCAACCAACCTCCGTCTTTGCGGTGCTGCTGTGACACTGTTCCTGGGTTTCCCGTGATCACCCTATTACCACTGAAAAGCACAGAGTCACTGCTTTGAGGAACTGTTGGAACTCTTTCAATTGAGCAAGTGGTTCAGGAGTTAAAGAAGTTGATAACATATTGCAAAACACCCATCTGACACCCGACGCAGGTTTCGCTGTAGAGGGTTAAAGACCACAAGTTGGTGAATGACTTTTATCTGAACTCCATGCCTTTTTGTTCAAACCACAAGCAACCACTGGCTAAACTCAAAGGAGTGAACTACCCAGTGCATTAACACCATGATGTCTAAAAGATGGCAAGAAGACAGATAAAATGGATGATCGCAGAATTCTTTCCTTGGTTAAGAAACATGTGTGTTCTTCAATCACATCAAACACCAAAAAAACATATTTGTCAGAAATTCCATGCCTACATTCTAGTAAGAAATCTCACCTTCTCTGTCAAATATGGTGGATGACAGATTTTTAACATTTAGCAGAAAAGGAACATAAGGTTAAACATAAGGTCAAGTAACAAAAGTGGCTGAATGAAGGCCGAGAGAAACTAAATGCTGAGGAAGAGCTAATGGTGGCTACAGTAAAGGTCAGGGAGAGCATCACCATACAAAGATGCAATATCTGTGGGATATGATTTAAAAATTTAAAATAATTTGTGATGTAATTTAAGATAGGAGTCGTGTTTAGGCACAACAGAGACTGTAAAGTGCACAGTAAAGAGAGTTAAGATACTTATCTGAGAATCTTGGTCAAGTTGTGCAAGTTCCTGGCTCACCCGTTGAACGGCCACTTCAAAAAGTTAATTCCGAAAAGGTTTCTCATGAGCAGGACCAAGAGATCTCGCATTGCTATCATCCACCTGCAAAAATCACTGCCATTGTGGGAACAGTCACTGATGATGGCCGGGATTCGGGACATCGCCAAGATCTGCTGCACTCTGCACATTGAGGATTACCAATGGTGCATGTGTCAGGATGCTGAAGGCAGGAGTTCAGATGACCTTTGACCAGCTGGCTTTGGCTTCTCCCAAAGGCTAAATGCTGCTGTCACAACCCAAGCAAAAACAGAGGGCTGGACGGGCTCTTTGGAAAGAGTTCTTGGAACAACCTCAAAGCCGTAAATTAAATGTTTTTTGCTGTCTATGACATCTAAGACAAATAAAAGGCTGGCTGCACTAAATAAATGAATAAATAAATAAAGAACACATCACTCCTACTAGTGGCAGTCAGTCACACTGCTTTCATACTAATTAGTAGATTCAGAGTTATTATAAGCAGCAACATTTCTTCATGTCATCTTGTGGAAATTAAGAAGTGCAATCACTGCCATCATTACTGGCAGCTGAGACACTTGCTCGATGGTCTAATGTGCCACAACCAGAGGAAAGACAGTCTTATGGAAGTGCTGATACAAATCCCTTTGTTTCACTTTGAGTAAATGGTAGTTTCAGATCTATGCAGTCCTTGCAAAACAATGAGCTACACTGTTTATAATGCATGTTTAGAGGCAAAAGAAAAAAACAGCTGTTTAGTTTCTACTGAAAAGAGGATAAACAGTGGCTATGTTGCATGAGTCTTTATTTTTCTACTTTAAATGAATCCCATGAAAAGAAAAACGATGCTGTTTTATTGTGAAATATGTATATTCTTGGCTTAAGTCGTAAGCAGTGACTCTGTAAAAGTTCTGTTAGCTCAACATTAAATCACTCACTGTCCTGTAATAATTGTTGGTTTTATTTAATGATTGACAGAATGTTTTTTTCTTTTTTTACTGTAAGCCCATAGAAAAAATCATAAAATGTTTTGAATGGCTGTAAGGAAGGTCTTTATGAGTAGGTAAAGCTGTAAAACGTATGTAAATGCATTTTCCAAAGTCATCCAGTGGGACAGATTAGAGTCTTTGGTGGACCGTGTGTTTGATATTTCTGAGCTATAGTGTTAGAGCTCCTGTTTTATCCTGCTTCAGTACAATGTCTCAAACACTTTAGTGTCACATAGTGACTAAATGATGATTTAGTCTTGTTAAAAACAAATAATAATAATAATAATAATAAGCGATTAACTGACAGACATTTTTAAAGATTTTTGTTTACAGCTTTATGTAAGTTATAGCAATAAATAAATAAAAACCCACATTTCCATTACTGACTTCAGAATGAACTGGGGCAGCTACCAGTATTAGAGAACATATCGATGTAGAATGGGGAGAAAAATTCCTGCAGTGATAAGTGATGATGATGATTCAGTAATGAAGATTAAGACAATTTTGTAGACAATTATCAGGATGAAGATGATTAGGACGTAACCGTCGCTCAGCAGGGTTTCTTTGTCTGTGCGGATGTTAAAAGCAAACATGGCTGTTGGTGCCATCTGGTACCTTGTGGTATGCTTGGGAATTAGTCATGCTGAATATATACTGTCTCAGGGAATTTCTTTTGTCATTTTGCCATTTACATGGTCTCCAACAGTAGGTCCTAGACCGTTTTCCATCTGCATGCATTTCTCTTCTGAAGCACATTTCCAATTTCCTTTCATCTTGGGCCTGATGCTTGGGATGTCAGCACTTGTAATAGATAGAGTGTTTCATTTGGCGCTACAGATGCTGCACCCTCACACATGCATATGGCTAAGCTAAATCGCTAAGTATCTGCTAAGGTTTTCCTTGTTTCTCATACTGGCAGGGATGCTATAAAAAGCTCATCATATAATTTCACTGTGCACCACTGTTTTTAGAGACTTTTATGATACGTGGTGAAAAGCAATTTCATCTTTCTGTGTGTATTTAGAATTATCATTTTATGAATATCATCTCTTTTCTGGGATTTTTTTTCTTTTCAATTACATATGCAGATTCCCCTGCAATTTGATTCAAAGTCAGTCAAGATTTAATGGATTCCTTTTATTATCTTCCGACAAATTGCCTTTTTAGTGGGAAGAGTGTTTGCATTATTCATTTGTGAAAGAGCAAGCATTTATGAGTTCATTTAGTTTAGTTCTGGATGAGCTCAGCGACCAACAGAGGGGCTCAGAATGAGTCATCACAATGGATGATGAAGCACACCGCGTGTGATGAATCTCATCTGACCCCTGAACTCTTGTCTTGCTGTCTTGACTGTGTAGGTGATTCAGCGCAGGGAGGACGGCTCAGTCAACTTCTTCAGAGGATGGGAATCTTATCGTGAGGGATTTGGCAAGATCACCGGAGAACACTGGCTGGGTAAGTGGCTCAGGTGTGTGCGTGTGTGTGTTCCGCAATGTATGACTCATGCGCAAGACTGCCGAGGATGGTGAGCCAAGCTCGGGGGAAGGAGATTTCACACAGTATATAAATGTTGGTCATCTTGTGAGCTGACAAAAAAGTAAAAGAGAGAAAAACACTTAGTCATGTCAGGTGATGGAGCAAGATGAAAGAGACACCCAAGAAGAGGCCGACAGATAGAGATGAGTTTGACCCTTCATAGCATCAACAGAGCAGCAATAGCTGTATTACTGACAATGAAAAATGCTGCGGTAACAGAGAGAAAGAACTACAAGGATGTTTTATTGTGATAGCCACTCAGAACAACACAGGCCAAAAGACCTGCAATGCAATAACAATATTTTTGGTTTTTCATATGCCAAAACACACAACAGTGTAATTATTATTGCAGCTTTTTCAGTGGTCACCGTCTGCTTAAAACAAGTATTTTTTCAACCAGCGCCTTTTCCAAATCCTTATATTTCTCACTGGCAGCCAGGCATATTAGTCTATGCCTCCCCTTAAAACTTGACAGGCGAAAGAATGCCAACAAAAGAATTCATTCGACTGTGAAATTATCGACTTTTCCGAAGCCAAATTCTTTGCCTTCACACCACTTCTCATTAAATGTACCAAAATATTTCTTTGTGGGGAGGGGGAGGTGCGAAGGAGGATCCATGCACATCATGGTCTAAAAGCAAGTTTCTCACAAGGACGAGGGCAAATTCGTGATAGCTGACTAAATTAGAAACATTTTCGGCTGTAGAATTAAATTCTGTGGCGACATCGAATCACTTTTTTCGCAGTCATAGTCAGCGTCTTTATAGGATATCAGTAATTGCTACATGGCGTCAGCTCTTAACATCAGCCAAAGTCATTGTGAAACCTATAAAGTCTTTTTCCTATAAATCTGTGTTTTTATTAAAAAAAACAATATGTCATCCATGGAGAACAGTGACCTGCTTCGTATATTTTCTGAGTGCATCACTAATTCTGAAAAAAAAAAAAGGGCAGCTCATTTTAGAAAGGTTGAGCAGCCAGGTGTTAATAAGCTATCATCGTAGTAAGTGCGGGTAACCACCTCACAACAGTTTGCTCAAGTTCAGACTGGCAGAGTAAGTGGCGCTCGAAGAAATCTATTTGTGTAAAAGCACACATTCACAGTCAAGGTCATGGACGTGCTTACCACAGCTGAGATATTCTGCCATCGGCTCTCTAGATTAGAGCTCTCTTCACTCAAACGCACACACATATGCACGAAAGAGTAACACAACATAAGCATCTGTGGGCAGCTCAGCTTTTTAGGCACGCTATGTACTGTAGATTAATTGTAACATACTGTAAATGATTTTTTTCCCTTTGTGCCGCAAATGTGGCTCGTGAATCACAAGGCCCAGAGGGTACCCAGAGTTTCTGCCCATTTGCGCTCTAAATAGAAGCGTAATTTACAAAATGAACACCATTTAGTATCAAATTCATCTTTAAATTAGCAACTGAAACCATAAACTCATAAGGAAAGCGTAGACTTCTATCGATTATGATACATGATGAGTGTCAATAAGAATTAATAACTCATAGTGTGTAAATAGGCAGCACTGCAGACCAACAACATGATATGGGCGTACGTGGTTTTAGGCACTTCACCACCTCCACGCTGTGTCCTTGCTGGACATAGGAATGCTTGTGTGTGGTTCACAGCTTTTGCAGAATTTATGTGAATTAATGGAGATCTAGGTCTCTTTGCTGACCTGAGGCCATTACAAAGCGCAGCCCATAAAAAAATAAAAAAATAAACGTGGGTAGGGATCTGGTGAGATGGCACACAGTGGAAGTATAGTGGGAATATGGAAAGCTCAGGTTTTAGCAGACTGAATTTGAATGAGGCTACAAATTACTTTGAACCTTTCAGCGCACCCTTGGTCATTCAGGCTGGGCTGTTTTCTAGTCACCCCCCCGATCATCGATGGCAAAAATGAAAAATGGATTCATGCTCGCCTGGAGCCTAAAAAAAATCATTGCAACTCCTTCCTCCGAAACCAGCACTGCGCACAGCTACCACCCACCACCACCAGGTTTTGTACATTTCTCATTAGCATGAGTTTCATTGTATTTACTGAACTACTGATAGTATGATAATAGTGATCAATTTTGGAAAAATTTTGGATAAATTGATATAAATATAAATATTCACCGGCCACTTAATAAGATACACCTGAAATCTCAGCCTTATTATTTCAGTAGCTGCTGATTTCCAGGGATTTTCCCACAGGACCATCTCTGGGGTTTACAGAGAATGGTCCGAAAAATAGAAAATATCCAGTGAGCGGCAGCTCTCTGAGTAAAAATGGCTTGTTGATGCCAGAGGTCTGAAGAGAATGGCCAGGCTGCTTTAGTCTGAAAGGAAGGCAACAGCGACTAAAAATAACCACTCGTCACAACAAAGTATTCAGAACAGGTTGAAACCTTGGAGCCGATGAACAACAGCAGCAGAAGACCACACCGACTGCCGCTCCTGTCAGCTAAGAACAGAAAATATGAATCAACACTGCAAAAAATAATGGAAGAGAAATAGTAGATTGAATTGACCTCGCTTTCTGCTGCGACATTCGGATGCTAGGGTCACACTTTGGTGTAAAAACATCCATCCCGCCTTGTGTTAGCAGTTGAGGCTGGTGGTCTGGGGGATTTTTTTCTTGGCACGCAATGGGCCTCTTAGTGCCAGCTGAGCATTTTTAAGCACCGCAGCCAACCTGAGTACTTTGGCTGACAAGTGCAGACATAGAGCACCTTTGGGATGTGCCGGAATGGGAGATTCATACATGAATGTGCAGCAACTGTGTGATGCTGTCGTTTCCGTAGGACCAAAATCTCTAAGGAAGGTTTCCAGCAGCACCTTGTTGAAGGTGAGTCTGTGCCATGAAGTAGTTCTGAATGCAAAAGGTCCTTCAACCCAGTACTATGGTCACCTAGATAGACATACACTGTATATTATCATCTGTGCACCAGCATATGTGTCAATTAGTCTAACATTTTAATTTGTGTCAATCCAAAGAAAGAGTGCAACAGCCTTTTCCACTTGGGATTAGCTCTTTTTCTATTTATGACAAACTGTCATTCACACTGGTGATTTGAAACAATGTGCAGACTGAGGTTCATAATGACTGTCGAGTTTTATATTATATTATTTATGTTACATTAGCATTTGTCTCTTGATTCTGTTGTATTCTTTAAACCTTCTTTACACTGACATCAAACATCTGTAGTTATAAAGGTACAGTTAATGTCAAAGTAAAAGATAACTAATAAAATTTATGCCTAACATAAAAATTCTTCCCACATGTTGTGTGTATAAAGGTAAAACCAACATATTGCTGAATAAACTCCCGGAGGAGTAAGTATAAAGAGCATAAAACTGGGTCAAGCAATTCCATTGTCACAATCAAATCTATTAGACACCTGGTCGCCGATGCTGATGTAGGCTTGTCTACCTGTAATATAGGTCCTGAAACAGTTTAACGTGGTCCCAAAGGAACCAACCTAGTTTTCCAGATGGCCTATTACAATAACAGAACTTGGTCTGCAGTGTCAAACCCAGCATTAAAAGTATAGACAAATGATCTGTTGTCACAGTCATGTCTTCTCTCCTGCCTCCACTTCCTTAAAGTATACCTAGAATAATTTTAATGTTTTACTTTTTCTTTTGAACAAAGAAAATGTTATATAACTTAAAAGCTGTGTAGTAGTAGCTCAGGAAGACACTTTTGCTCACATTGTTAAGGATGTGAAGGTCTAATTGGAATAAATCCCAGAATAAGCTTGCTCAGAATTACATTACATACAATCTAAACACTCCAAGTGAATGATTTAAAGTACGTAAATGAAAGCATTAACAACTTTCCAAGTGTTCTCTTACATATACATGCATCTGCATATTTTATTGTTGAAATGAGCATGAATTTGTTTTGGTTTCCTCGTCTCTATTAAAGAAAACAGAAACACAACATTCTTGAGCAGTACTCATTTCATTATCCAGTGGAGCTTAAACTGCTTAATCAATGACAAAATGGAATTCTAGTTTTTGGTAACTGCCTGTAAAAACAACAGCTTTTCATTTCTCTTCATGCAACTGCTGGACTGAATTCTAGTTATCCATTTATTAATTTACAATCAGAGATGTATGTCTGTGAAGGTTCTCAGTCATCCAGGTCATCGTAGTCAAAGGAGCTTGCAAAGAAAAGCGTCTGGACTTCTTTAAGTTGCTTGAAGGCATTTCACCTCTCATCCGAGAAGCTTCTTCAGAGATGTACTGTTCCTAATACAATAACAATACCGATACCATTCAGTGCTGGCTTAATGTATCAGCTCAAGGTATCTGCAGATAATGAATAATGATCTGATATCAGTGTTGATCTGATACGAGTAAGCTGTAATAATAAGCTGTAATCCATGTAATTCAGCAGGCTTAACTTGGATATTTATTTCCTGACTTGGCAAATAAAAATATGGCAAATAAATATATCCAAGAATATAAATGTGCTAAATGCAGTATAGAAAACAACATACTATAAAACTGAGTTAAGTGGAAAGCTCATTTTCACCAATATCCTATACCACAGCGTTTAGAGTTCATGATCAGTCCATTAGCCAATTCAAATATAAAATCGGTGCACCCCAATTTAAAATAAATGTTCATTTCTTTTATACTGCAACCCCTTTGCAGCTTATATTTCACTAATCAGTGCACATTTAAATGTCCCTGCAAGAATAATCTGTAAAGCAAGAAGCATCTCTAAGAAGACACTAATCTGATGTGGCAGCTGGTACACAGAACCATCTGAAAAGTTGTGCAGAGCTGCTTGAATAAGAGCAGGCACACAGCGGGCCATTTGGCCAAAAGTCCATTTACAGTATCACTGTCTACCGCAAGCTGATAAAAAACCAACCACGTCAATGTACCACAAGGCACAGCGTGACAAAGA